TCCCACACACACTGACCCTCACTGGGGCACAGTCCCACACACACTGACTCTCACTGGGGTTCGGCTCACACGCACACTGACTCTCACTGGGGTACAGCTCTCACACATACTGACTCTCACTGGGGTATGGCTCTTACACACACAGACCCTCACTGGGGTACAGTCCCACACACACTGACTCTCACTGGGGTATGGTATCCCACACACACTGACTCTCACTGGGGTACAGCTCCCACACGCACTGACTCTCACTGGGGTACAGTCCCACACGCACTGACCCTCACTGGTGCACAGCTCTCACACACACTGACTCTCACTGGGGTATGGCTCTCACACACACTGACGGTCACTGGGGTACAGTCCCACACACACTGACTCTCACTGGGGTACGGCTCTTACACACACTGACCCTCACTGGGGTACAGTCCCATACACACTGACTTTCACTGGGGTACAGTCCCACACATACTGACTCTCACTGGCGTACAGTCCCACACACACTGACTCTCACTGGGGTACAGTCCCACACACACTGACTCTCACTGAGGTACAGTCCCACACACACTGACTCTCAGTGGGGTACAGTCCCACACACACTGACTCTCAGTGGGGTACGGCTCCCACACACATGGGCTCTCACTGGGGTATAGACCCATACACACTGACTCTCACTGGTGTATGGCTCCCACACACACTGACTCTCACTGGGGCACAGTCCCACACCACTGACACTCACTGAGGTACGTGTTTGTTTTGCATGAAACAACCAGCCAGTATGTTTGGGTAATGTCTTGAGTTATTTGAATCCTCCCAGCTGACCTTGGCATGCTGTGTGTGTAGCCACATACCAAGAACTATAAAAAAATTAGGAAATCAACTGCCATGTGTACACGGCAAGATTTCAGTCTCAGAGATGTTGTAATCATCAATTAGCATTGGCTATCCTCTTCTTTATAAATGTCTGCAAATCATTTCCCTGAGACGTCTTAATGTTTCCTCTGCCAGACATCAGCTCTGACAGTGCAGCACTCCCTCAGTGCTGTACCGAACCTGTTAGACTTGAATAAGTGGCTCAAACATCTGAAGTTTGATTCAAGTTGAGAAATCTCTGACTTCGAGGTGAGAATGCTGCCACTGAGTCATAACCAATGTCTGTTGTATGTGTGGCCGGGTTGGCAGCCATGGGAACAATCAGCGATTGTGATGAAAGTGGCAAGGAGACATTTGACTGGAATCAAGGGCGTGGGAGAATCACTCGAGTGTTAATAGAATACAATGTTTTGATGTTTGTGTTGATGACAAGCGGCACAGACACATTAAATCATTCACCTTTTGTTTGGACTTTGGAGCAGCGAGATCAGAACTCATTTGCAAAGAATTAAAATTTGAGTTTACAGGCAAGTTTTAGTTGCATTTGAGCAGGATTTTGTTATATACTGTTCAGAAGAAGCCCGTTACTGCAAGAAATGGTTTTGGTAGTTTATGATCTTTTCAAAGTTAGGATAATTTGGGATTGGAAGTTTCGGGGTTTTTTTATTTGAAAAAGTTTCAGCCATTAGAATCAAGAAGGGTTCATGTTGTCACTCTGTGAGAAAAATCATTCAACAGCCTCGAGAGTTAAGACAGAGGAGTCAGCTCAGCAGATACTTACAGAGTTGTGACCAGAGTATAATTTCTCTGATGAATGGGTGAGCAGGTAGATACACACAGAGATGCTCACTGTCAGTGTGCAGAGAGTGAAAAACATCAGAATAATACAATGCTAATCCATCTCTCTGAAGATTTAGAAACATGTAGTTAGATTGCTCGTAACCATGGGTGATAGGAGACTGTGAGCGTGAGGTTGTGTGGTTGTGAAATCTGCTGATTTGACTGGATTTTGAAATTCAGTCAGCATTGGCTGTATCCCACCCACTGGGTCCATTGGGCATGATCTCAAAACCTACCTTCTGGAAATCTGCTTGCTAAAATTTCTGACAAAGTTGCAATGAATGAAATTTGTTTGGAACGAATGGTGTTTCCTTTTGTAAACTGAGGAGAGATCAGAGAAAGACTTACTCCTTCTGATTTCTTGTCTGGGAAGATGCAAGTTTCTCCTCCAGATGTGAAGTTACAGAAAACCTTGAACGAGTCTCTGGAGCAGCCTTGGTTTGGGTCAATCCAGTATTCACCTGCCCAGAGGAGAAATGACAAAAACCGAAATAGGATGGATTAATCACTGCTCTATAATAGGGTTAAACCAGCAATACAGTAACAAGGCACAGTATTTCTCATGACCTCATCAACTCCAGCATCCACTCTGTCGCTGTTTAATGGGCCATTGCACCTACTCTGTAATACACTGAACACTTTCTCACCCTGTCCTTTGCAACCTTTCCACCACACTTTATCTTTTACTGGCATTCAGTTGGAACTTCCTGGAGTCTCTTCTCTCACCTAATCACAGCTCCCAATGCTTGTTCTGACCCACTCATCCTCCTGTCCACATCCACACCTCTCAATCCTCTCTTCTCCAGCTCATTAACATCCCAGGCCTACAGAATGTGAAACTCCTCATCTCCTTGGCAGTCCCATCATATTACAGGACATGAAAATCTAATCTTGATGCGACTTGTCCAATTGTCTCGTCACATCTTCTCCCCTCCAGGTCTCCCCTCCACAAACTTATCCTCCTTCCAAGGTAACACAACATTGGTACAATCTTGTCATTCAGGCCAATAAGCAGAAATTGACTGATTGCATCTTGCTGTGGACATGTTGCATAGCTCTGTAGGACACTGTACAATATTCTGACAATATTCTGGTTATTGTAATCTGTGAAAGTGTTAGGCCCAGGGTCCAATGGGTGAGTTAACATTCCAACCTCACAACACAAAGCATGAACAGTCAGAATGCCATTCGGAGACAGATGGAGACGGTGTGAGGCTGCTTCAGATCACTGAGACTGTGATGTAGATACAAAGTAAACCATGATACAGAGTGTAGAATCCACTCTGAGCCGAAGTCCCTACCTGCTTCAAGAAGACCACCATCATCCCAGTACCCAAGAAAACACATGCAGTGTGTCTTAATGATAACCACCCAATGGCTCTGACCTCAATAATCATGAAGTGTATTAAGAGACTGGTCATGGCCCACATCAGCTCCAGTCTTCCAGTCTGCCTCGATCCCCTACAGTTTGCTTACCGACATAATAGGTCCATAGTCAATGCCATATCCCTAGCCCTGCACTCATCTCTGGAACATCTGGACAACAAGACACCTGTGTCAGACTCCTGCTAGCTGACTACAGCTCTGCCTTCAACTCCATTATCCCCTCCAGACTGATCTCAAAACTCAGTGACATTGGTCTCCGCTCCGCCCTCTGCAACTAGATCCTCAGCTTTCTGACCCAAAGACCGCAATCAGTGAGGATAGGTAACTGCACCTCCACAATAACACTCAACACTGGAGCTTGCCAAAGATGCGTCCTCAGCTCCCTACTGTACTCCTGTACACCTACGACTGTGTTGCCAAATTCCAACGAATGCCATCTACAAGTTCATTGACGACACCACCACAGTGGGACGGATATCTAACAACCACAAGTCAAAACACAAGGGAGATAGTGGGCTTGGTGTTGTTGATGCAATGAAAACAATCCGTCTCCCAACGTCGGCGAAACTAAAGAACTAATATCAACTTCAGAAAGAAAGGAGAACACACCCCCATCTACATCAACGGAATTGAGGTTGAGAGGGTGGAGAGCATCAAGTTCCTTGGAGTGACGATAACCGACTACCTGTCCTGGACTTCCCACGTAAATGCAACAGTCAAGAAGGCACAACAACGCCTCTTCTTCCTCGGGTGGCTCAGGAAATTTGGAATGTTCAAAAGGTCCCTCACCAACTTCTACAGATGCACCATTCAAAGCACACTGTCCAGGTGCATAACAGCCTGGTATGGCAACTGCTCTGCCCAAGACCGTAGGAAACTGGAGAAGGAAGAAGAAATTGCAGAAGAAGAAACTACAGCCCAGACCATTACGGAAGCCAACCTTCCACCCGTGGACTCCATTTACATGGTTTGCTGCCGCAGGAAGGCCCCCCACATCATCAAAGACCCATCACACCCTGGTAATGACGTCCTACAACCTCTTCCATCAGGCAGAAGATACTGAAGCCTGAACACACGCATGAGCAGGTTCAGGAACAGCTTCTTCTCAGCTGTCATCAGACAATGAATGGACTCTCTAGTCTCAAATA